AAGCACCTAGAGGTGGCTGTTGTTGTGATTTGTTGCTATAAAAATCACATTTAATTGAAACTTTCAGCCAGTTAACATTTAGTCTATCACACACATGCACCATGCTGTTGGCTTTTTAAAAGACTGCATACATGCATGTGTCAACAGCCTCTACACTAGTTGAATACTTGCAGTTACAACAGTGATCTGAAACTTTCCACATCCCTGAAAGTGATGAAACCTAGAGGAGCTGCTACGGTGAACTACCCACCTCCTTCACTGACAGACTGAACGGCAGCATCCAGGAAAGAGGTCGGGCTACCGTAGGGATCCAGATCAATGACGTCATAGCAATCCTTCTTCGCTCGCATGTCATACATCAGCATGCTGTGTTTAAAACCCGAGAGAGAAATTTTTATTTATTTATCTTAAATGGTAAATTTGGATAAAAGCAACAAAAAAAGATGCTCATGAGAAATGTGAATAGGAGGTCAAAGGTCAAAAGTGAAGAACAATGAAACAAGAAGTAATGGGGGGGAGGGAAGATGGTACTGAACAGTGGAGCTGATAAAAGTGGGAAGTAAAGCAGCAGAACATGCTGACTAGTCATACCTGGCATCTCTGCAGCTGGCCTGGAGCAGGTGGCTCACTCCGTTGTACTGGGCATTCCTGGCGATCAGAGCCGCCGCCTTAGCAGAGAAGTCGTTGGCAGTGACGCTCTGCAGACCTGGGACCTCCAGAGCAAAACGCACCGAGCGCAAACCAGATGCTGCTAGGCCCTCCAGGACACGCAGACCACGCTGACACAAAAGGTTTGGGGAAACACACTTAACGTTCCACAAAGACACACACACGCACTCTTTGGCCTTTTGGCAGCAACAGAAACAAGTCCTGAAAACGAAAATTACACATTGCCGGCCAAAAATTGCGAGCTCTTTAATCAAAGAGTTGCTTTACGTTTTTGAATATACACCACATCTTCCAGATATATGGTGTAGTAGTCTCTGATATAATTCAGGTGTTCCTATCACTTCCAAGGCCACAGGTGTATAAAAACAAGCAAATTTGTGGGAAACGTTTGGGGATGGCCCCTTCCTGTTCCAGCATGACTGCACATCAGTGCACAAAGCAAAGTCCATAAAGACACGGATGAGCGAGTTTGGTTTGGAACAACTTGACTGGCTTTCACAGAATCCTGACCTCAACTCGACAGAACACCTTCGGGATGAATTAGAGTGGAGACTGTTAGCCAGGGCTTCTCATCCAAT